TATATATATATATATATATATATATATATAATGAATATGTATGCATCATATAAACATTATAATATAATGTATAAATCATGTATATATAAATAATTATACATCAAATTAAATGAAACAGCACAGTAACAAGGTGTCAACATACGTAATAATCTTAATAATTATTTATACAACCCATGATGGAAAAATCATAAAATGGAATGAAACAATACAGGAACAACAAAATATATACAATTTATTTATCCATTTACCTATTTCTACAGCCATGATATTACAAATCTTTGCATATATATATATTTATATATATATATATATATATATATATATATATATATATATATATATATATATATATATATATATATATATATATATATATATATATATATATATATATAAATTAATATGTATATATTAATTTATATATAACATAGACACACAAAATATCAATACTATTCTATAAAACACAAAGTGAAAAGTCTTGGTGCAATTTTGATGTCTTTTTGTTAAAATTTCCTTGTAACTTAGTAACTCTTTTATTTAAATATTGTATCGATCATAGAGTATAGAATATTAAAATTGTTTATAGATCATAGAGTATAGAATATAGAAAATTAAAAAATATCTTTAAACGATAAATAACTAAACAAAATAATAGTCTTAAAATAATCAACCAAAACAAGTAGACATATTTAAATAACAGAGTTTGCGCATAATATTGTATGCGCCAAGTTGAAAGTATTAATTTTTTACTTATTTTTAAGGTAATTAGGACGTCTTATGTAGGTCTTAGCGACGTCAATAGGACGTCTAAATATTGAAGTCCTGATATCGTCTTTATATTAACGTCACAAGGACGTCCTAACAAAGACGTCTTTACCGGACGTCTTTAGGACGTCCTAATTTGGTCTGAGACGTCGCGACCTAGTTAAGACGTCCGTAAGGCGTTTGATTCACGCCTGTGCCCGCTGGGTATTAATTTTTTTACTTATTTCTAAGGTAATTAGGACGTCTAATGTAGGTCTTAGCGACGTCAATAGGACGTCTAAATATGGAAGTCCTAATATCGTCTTTATATTAACGTCACAAGGACGTCCTAACAAAGACGTCTTTACCGGACGTCTTTAGGACGTCCTAATTTGGTCTGAGACGTCGCGACCTAGTTAAGACGTCCGTAAGACGTTTGATTGACGTCTGTGCCCGCTGGGATGTATACTTGAATATTACTTCCATAAATGAAGCACATCCGATTATCTCCGCATCAGTTGCCCATGTCGCATCTTCAAGCATTCTAGTTTTACAAATATGCGTTTGAATGGGCATATTCAAATATCTAGTCATTTCATCATGTGTTTGGTTACACATATGGTTAACAACCTTGTCTCTAATTTGCTTATGCTCATCCTTACTTCCTGTTATGATAAAAGAAACTGCTCTAAAAAAGCAGTTTCCATCTCCTTTAATTCTATGGAGTCCCTGAGGTAAATCAATCCCTGAGAGTTAGGTTTATATTTTCTACGGCAACATTGTGTTTCCAAACAATTTCAAACTTTTCTGCAATTAATTTTCTCATATCAAAAGTTGCACATTTTGCTATTCCTTTGTCTAAAACATTTACACAGCTTTCATTTTGAGTATTTATATATGACTTCCTTGTTTCAACGTCTTTGATAACTGGTTCAGTTTTGATATCATCATTATTTGATAACTTATTAATTTCTTCTATTTTCATTCTTTAAACTACAGTTATTTGTACTTGAAATATTAGTTACCGTGTATGGTCCTATCCATGGCTTCACAAGCTTTCCACATTTTCTGTCATCACGTTTATGATTTTGCAATAAAACCTTTGTTCCTATAGCAATACTATTGTTTGGGTTAACTCTTTTGTCATAATCGCGTTTTTGCATTATTTGTGACATTTGGATGTTTTCGTAAGCTTCATCAAAAATACACTTCTTCATTTCATTCATTTTATTGAATGTTTCCAAAATTGCTTTTTTTTTTATGGGAATTGTCTTCAATCAGAGTAGCATTATCATTATTGTCAATTAGGTTCTGATCTATATTAATCGGAAGAACAGGTTCTCTTTGATAAAGTAATTCAAAGGGTGAAAATCCAGTTGATTTGTGTTTTCTAATTTGCATTGAAAACAAAACACCGTCAATAATAAATGGCCATTTAAGAGCAGCATCTTCTAGCACCTTTACCAATGTTCGTTTTATTGATTAATTTTGACGTTCTACCAAACCATTTGCTTGTGGATGGTATGCACTTGTCATGCGTTGACGAGTCCCAGTTTTACTGTGAAGTTCATTTGAAAGCTCATTTATATATTCACGACCTTGATTGTTAATCTGTATTTCAAAACATCCGTGTCTACATATTTGTTTATACAGGAATATTGCCACAGATTTTGCTGCTTTATCAAACAGAGGGGCAGCTTCTACCCATTCGCTGAAATAATCAGCAAGTATTACCAGATATTTATACCCATTTACTTCTGGGAGTTGAGTCAAATCAATCCCAACCTGTTTCATGTTACCTTTTGGAATCGATATGCTTTGTGCATATCGATTCCATTCATGACATTCTGAAACATAGGCTGTAATGTCTTTTACCATACCAAACCAAAAAAATCTCTTTTTAATATACTCTGTTGTTGAATTGATGCCTATGTGGCCAGATAATGCGTTGGCCTCATTAGAAATATTATTACCATCATGAACAGACTTAATATATGGTGTTGCTCTTTTTTGCACCAAATAACTTTTCTCTAAAAAAAATTAAAAATGCTGTTATAAAATATATATATTTTTTTGTTATATGTTTTTAAATATATGTTTTTCCTTATCACGGCAGTATTATACTAGTAAAGTACAAGCTTTTTATTATGTAATTATGTAAAACATAATATTGTTATATATTATGTATTATTATTACATGATACATTATTTAAACATGATATTATTATGTAATACGTTATTATGTAAAACGTGGTACATAAACGTATACATAAAAATGTATGTATTTATCGCAAACCACGCTAGTATAAAAAACTCTAATTATATAAACTGTTTATATAATTAGGAGCTGTATCATCTGGGTAAATCTGGCCTTAACGCCAGATTTACCCAGATGATACAGCTCATTTTCTTCAATTACAAATGGTTTTGTTTTTCTTCGAAAGTTCGACTTATCACCTTTACTAATAGCTGTCTTTGGATATATGCTTCTTTTTAAAAAATTATAAACGTCGGCAAATTCAGTATGCATAGTTAAATTTTTAGAAATATGAAACCCACTGTATTAAAAGATTCGCTTCTTATTGGTTTTCAAGAAACCGCAGTAACTAAAACGTTGAAAACTATTCTTAAAATATAATTTAATATGTGATTTTTACTGGAGAGTAAAAAAAAACGCGGGAGTAATAATCTCATACTACACCAGTAGGGTTGGTAAAATAATGGAAAGTGTATTGAACATTTAACAACTATTAATCTTATCACATTGTAACAAATTGATATTGTACAATAAAGTTGTGTAACAAATTTTCTAGATTTGTTAGTACAACTTTAATAAACATCCACCCAACATTCTACTTATTGATTTCGGGAAAGCATTTGATACTGCACGGTAAAATGTGATGAATAGTGAGAGTTTTTAGTGTTTTTCTGGTATCATTGACTGAGATATAGTTTTGTGATTGCATTTTGTGGTACTAAGTATAGCCTTACACTGCTTTTATAAAATTATGCATATTTTGAATTAATATTAATGGCTGACCTTTTTTTATTTTTTTGTTTTCTGTCTGTTCCTATTGACCCCGCATGTGGGGTGAATAGAGAAAACAACTGTTTTAGATGTTTGCTTTTATTCTATTTATATTTAATAGTAATATTTATATTATATTTAATAGTAATATTTAACGCTAACCAGGATGCGTGTAAATCTAAGTTTCAATTAAGCACACATTTTAATTCTACACTAACTAAATTGCTAAAATATTTTATAAAAAAATTCGTTTGACCAAATATACAGCACCAAAATCTAGAATCAAAAAAAGAAGTATGATAAATCAGCTTTTGAATAAGTTCAAAAAAAAGAACAAGAAAAAAGCAGCCTGAACAAGAAATCTCTTACATATGAGTTATGAACCAACCCTAGAAACTCTGTGGATAATTGGAGGTTTAATGAAATAATACTTGCCACTGGTTAATCCTAGTCAATTGGTGTACATTCAAAATATATATTAAACCAGTCAAAAAATTACAAACATTAACATTTTTTATATATGTAAATATTTAATTTGTTTTATTTTTGATTTTTTTTAAATTTCAGCAATAAATAACAATTATTATTATTATTGTTATTATCATTATTTCTATTTTTATTATTATTGTTAAACTTTATGATTCTGACATTACTAATTTTCCTAATTTAACCGTTTTTTAAAAAAAATCGAAACTGATCATTTGATTATAGCCATATATAAAAGGTTATACAAAAAATGGTTGTAAACATATAGTCATAAATATTTATGAATAAATTGTCATAAATATTTTATTACACAAAAATTCCGATAAATTTTTTTTTGGTATTAAACATGTGAATGTTCTATATACCATTATTTATGATAAATGAAACATTTGTTAATATTTAAAACTATTCATGTTTAAAAGTTTAACATTGTTTATTAAGATTTTTTCATTAATAACGACATGGGACAAACTTTAAATAAAATTTAAGCAATATAAAGAATTTGATTCAAGCCTTCTAAAGTAAATTTTTTGGTTGGCTAAACTTTAAATTTTAAATATAGAAAAAATTTTGTGACTTTAAAAGAATAATATTATTACTCTTTTTTTTCAAATTTTTTTATTTAATTAATTTTTCCAAAATTGGTTACAAGGCTATTTTTTTTTTTAAATTGGTTATTAAACTGATAATAATGTGTTAATAAAATTATTATTGTTACGTTGTTAATAAAAAACTATTTTAGAAAAAGGTCAGAAGACATTAACTTTTCAAAGATTCTTTACTTCAAATAACAATGTTTTGAAATGTCGTTAATCTATTAATTTCATGAGTATTATTTAGTTTTTATAAATGAACTATATTTATTATACAATATGCTATATATATGATGAGGCTGTCCACTAAGCTAGTTGTATATGATGAGGCTGTCCACTAAGCCAATTGTATATGATGAGGCTGTTGACTAAGCCAATTGTATATGATGAGGCTGTCGACTAAGCCAATTGTATATGATGAGGCTGTCGACTAAGCCAATTGTATATGATGAGGCTGTCGACTAAGCCAATTGTATATGATGAGGCTGTCGACTAAGCCAATTGTATATGATGAGGCTGTCGACTAAGCCAATTGTATATGATGAGGCTGTCCACTAAGCCAATTGTATATGATGAGGCTGTCGACTAAGCCAATTGTATATGATGAGGCTGTCGACTAAGCCAATTGTATATGATGAGGCTGTCCACTAAGCCAATTGTATATGATGAGGCTGTCGACTAAGCTAATTGTTTAAAAACAAAATTAAAGTTTTTCTTATTCTACTATTATATTATGGTTCAAAAATATTTTTGTTCAAGTTTTAATAAATACTTTTGGGACAAATGCAAATTGAAGCTAATCTAAGTTACTGAAAATCAAATTAGAAAATTAGTTACCAACCCCATACCTTTAGAATCGTATTTGAATGTAATCAAAATGATAAGCATTTCATCATCTATAATTACTAAAAGCAGTTTATTAATTTAGCTAGAACCGTTTATCGCAAATCTTTGTTGAGATTTTGAAAAAATAAAAAGGTATAAAAGTGAAACGATAACTAATGGAAACAATTACAGAAGAGGAAATGTTAAACAACGTTGACATAAGAAAATCATACGGGAAAATTCATTTTACTGGTGGAGCAAACAGAGAAACAGCCAAGGTATTATAAAATTATTGCAATTTAAAATTGTTATAAAAGTTTGTTTTTAAATGGTATATTTAATAATTTATATATATTTAATAAGTTTTATAAAAAAGTAGTTTCTTCTTTTTTTATTTTTTAACAATTAGAATATATTGGAAAGTAAATTGAACAACCTTGTTTTAGTTTGCCAAAATAGATACCAACTCCAAGATAGAACATATATTTGATCTGTTTGTAAAAAAATGGAAACTAGGCCAACCACGCCTCGTTGTATCTGTAACAGGTTCAGCAACAAGTTTTACTTTGAATCCGGAGCTAAAAAACTGGTTTACAGTTGGAATCTTGAAGGTATGATTAAGCTAAGTTAACTCCACAGCAGCACACCAGTCGGCTTTGACGTCATAGAGGCGTCTGAGGCCGGCTAGGATATTAACAATAAAGATAAGTAGTAGTATATTAACATTTTTTTAAATTTCGTAAACTTTTCTCGGTCGTTTATGCATAAATACGTTTTAAATGCGTTATATATGCATATATAATTTTCTGGGTCGTAAAGCAGGGAGTTTTAAGAAAATCTTTTTTGAATTAATTTGTATTTTTTTACTGCAATGCTTCAATACGAATCATAATATTCCCGTAGAAGTTAAAGTCTGTAACGGCTGCTTGAATTCTCTACGTAATAAAACTATTTATATACTTAATATAAAATAAAAAAGCGCCTCTATTACACATTGCAATGGCACCTCTGTTTACATAGTGCAGAGTATGTATTTGTTCATGAAATTAGCGCTATTTAAAATCGACTTCAACCGATAAATGCATATATAATATGTTGTTTTTTAATAGCATAATCCAGAGAAAATACCGGTTCTACGTTAAAAAAAGAAATGAATAAAAAATAAAATAATTTTATTAATGAACATTTGACAATTATACAGATCTGTAATTGGTTATATCTGAAACAAAAAAATCGATAAACTTACTTTGCAGTAATTGTTAAAACAATTTTTTTTTCAAACAGATTTTGTACTAAATATTTCTACGTATTGTTCTTTGGCAGCCGCCAAAGAACAATACGTAGAAATATTTAGCACAAGATAATGATGCCCTTATATGCTCATAAACCTATTGAAAATGATACCCTCAAGTCAAAAACAGAACTGTACGAACTGAAAACAGAGGCGTCAAATAGAGTTTTTTGAAATTTATTTTCAAAAAAATTTAAATCTCGTACAATAATCTTTTAGTATTTGAAAATTATGACCATGTAAAGTTTGACACCCTACATATAAAGTTTGACACCCTACATATAAAGTTCTTTTTATAACTTTTGAAGACCAAAAGTAAAACTTTTTATTTATCAAATTTATTAGAAGATAGCCAAAAAATACCTTCCTAATACTCTCACATTTGGTATATGAGGGTCCACAAATATAATGTACGTTATTAGAATAAGCAACCAAGATTGCGAATAATATTAAATAGCATTTGTTTTTGCTTTTTTTTTTTAAAAAAAAGAGATTTACCTAAAGTGAATAATTATTGTTTAATTTTTACTGATTTTGATAATATTTACTAATTGAAAAACAACGTGACATATTACGAAAAATAGGGGTATTAAAATGTAAAATTAATATTTAAAAATAAAAGTGGTTCTCAAGCCCTCCTTCCTTCAACAACCTTTACCCCCCTCAATCCCTTATGTAAGTGGTTTTTTAAATGCTTACTTAAAATATGAGGGTTATATAAGTTAACAAGCAAAAGTGAAACTCATTTTTCAATTATAACTCTACTAGAGGTACTGAAAAAGAATGCTAAAATTGAATGAGGTCCTACTTGCTGTTAAAACAAGGTATTATCGATCTATTTTCTGCTCTTGCACAAATAAATCCATCTCGTCTCTCAAAACCAAACACTGTTTCAGAAGTTACCTAAATAAAATAAACTGTTTTTTAAAATTATTTTTAATGCAGTAAATGATTTTTTTACATTTTTAACAACTAATATATTATTGAGGTTAGGAAAGTTAATTTTACCTCTTTAACTGCCCTCTCAACTCCTTGTATGTGAACAGGGAAATACTGAACTACCATAGGACAATCCAGGATTTTTTTTAGCTCATTTATGTTCATTTGACAGGTTAAGATGGGGTCATAGGTCTCTTCCCATGTTATTAATAAAATAAATTTGAATGCACACAGGTTTAAATGAGGAAGCTTATATGTTCTAGGAGCTAGAGTTCCTGTTTCCTCTTTTTTTTTTTAATTCCTAAAATTTTGTTTACAGCAAATTCCCTTTCAATTTTATTTTGGCTGCAAAGTAATGTCTGCAATAAGATTTTTAAATGAGAATTCCATGCTGATGATCTCACATATTCTTTAATTAATTTTTGTACATTTTTATCTTAAAGTTTGTTAAAGTTAAGTTGACTCAAGATGTGCTGTGGCCCTTTTATCCAGCTATGTTTCACTTTGATTTGGAAATAATAGGGAAGTATACTGATACAAGAAACTTAACAATTAATTCTAGGTTTCTTAGTTCTCCCTCTAACCCATGCTTGCATATCCACAATAAAAGTAAGGAAGAGCCTGTATTGAGCCATCTGAATAAACTATAGTGCCTGGTTTTTGATTTGCCAAACCTTCAGTAAGAGTTCCTGAAACTACTGTCTGGCATATTTTATAAGCATATTTCTGATCTAAAGATGACTCTTATTATTTCTTCACCAAGTTCAATTAAGCCAGGACCTATAGATATTGGTCCATTATGGCCTGTATTTGTAGCTGTGCTATCACAACCAATGAACTTTAAGCTATGTTCATCACCATGCAAAATAGACCATTGAAATATTTTATTTGCTATATGTTCAGCAAGCTTAATTTTTGATTTTTCACATATTTCTCCTTTCGTTAAATGATGAAAATATCTACCATATTCATCAGTCAAAGTATAGCGATAATGTCAAAATATAGCGATAATCTTCCTTTTTAATTAGAGAAAATTTTTTTTGGTTTCTTCATTAAATGTCATTAAATTGGTTTTGTCACTTCTTCCATCAAAGAGAATACAAGAAACATATTCAGAATCTAATCTATTCTCTGCAAAAACCTGACATTCTGACATAACTTTATTTTTGGCTCTATGCACTTTGTTTTTGTCCAGTAATAAAAAAAGAGCTGATTTTGGAACAACTTTAGCTTCCAACAAATTTTTAAAAATCCTGAAGCAATTGCAGCTGCAACAGTGTTTGAAACTTCATATCTTATTGCAGCAACAGCAGTATTTCGAATCTTCATATAATTTATTTGAAATCATCACTTATGTTTAATAAATCAATATGTTCAGCGTAATTAGAGCATTCAAACTCATTTTTAGAGCACTCTTCTTACTTCTTCGTTACTTTTATTTGAAACCTCAGCATAGGTTCTTTTCAAATGGCTACTATACATAATCTCCTTTTCCTTAAACTTTTTCAAATTCTGTTCCTTCTTACTACATCGCTCAACTGCTTTTTGCTTCCTTTTAATCTCTATGCAGTCTTTTGATCCTATTATAATTTGAGACTGGTCTCCTTGTTTTTTTTCTCTGCGAGTGAATAAATTCTAATTCTATTATAAGAATCATCACTGACTTCTCACATAGTCGATGATTTCACGAATTTAGTCGGCTAGTCGGGTATTTGACACAATTCAGTCTGGTAAATTTTAGTTTTGATGACCTTTATTATTATTTGGTAGAAGCTAGTCGGTACTTTTTAAGGATTAACCCCCTCCTCCCACCCTTTTTTATTCGTAGAATCGCCTCTTCTCAAAGCATCATACAATCGTTTTTGATTTCAGATTATTTTTGTCAACATAAACTCTAATCGCAACCTGAGTGCTTATTTGTTCTAACTCTAATTTTGTAAAAAATTAAGATAACCATAAAAAGTCAATATGAACTCTTTTTTCACATCCCAGATTAATTGATTCATTACATAATAAAATTGCACATTTGGAGTTAGTTATATCAAAGAGTCATGACATAAACTTCATTATTTTGTCAATTTTTACTTTTTTGGTTATTATTATTATTATTACTATTATTATTATTATTGTTATTATTATTATTATTATTGCTATTATTATTATTATTGTTGCTATTGCTATTATTATTATTATTATTATTATTATTATTATTATTATTATTATTATTATTATTATTATTATTATTATTATTATTGTTATATAACAACATATTAACATTATATCAATATTATTATGTTAAGATATAAGATTAGTAACAAACAATTAATATTAATTTTAAATATATTAGATCATAATATTTAAAAAATAATATTTGTCAACGTTATTGTTCATCAAATTTTTGAAAAGAAAATGTATTATTCATGATTTAATATCTATAATAATATTAAAATAATATATTAAAAAGTATTATACATAATTTCAAAATAAAGCAATTATGTTTTTAAAAATTGTATACCTATTAAACCAGACATTGCTGTGCTTGTCTTTTTTCTTGTTTTTATACCAGTCATTGTAAATTTTCTCTTTTACTTCAACTGTATTGTTACTAAAAAAAATTATTTTATTCTCCTAAATTTCACCTTACCATAAATTTATGCTAAATTTAATTTTTAAATAGAAGTTGCGTAGAGCATTAAAGATAAATCAAAAACCCCTTGTGAAAATTAATTTTTTTTTCTCTCTCTACACAAACATATTTCTACTCAAACTAGATAATAGAGTGACACCTATAAACATAAAAAGCACAAACAGGCAAACAAAAGAAAATAAAAATCATAGGAAACTAAATAAAAAAAAAAAGAGAAACAAAATAAATAAGACTTATTTAACATAAAAATCACAAACAAGCAATAATAAGAAAATAATAATAATAATAATAATAAAAATCAGACTATTTAAGTTAAAAGAAAAAATAAAAATCAAAGAAACCACGTTTGGTAGCTTATTTTAATGAAAATCAAAACAAATAGACAATGATAAAAGTTTACGAGAATTTTACAATAATAGAAGTTTATTTAAAAAGCAAACAAAATTTCTGAACTAAAAAACTTATAATTCCACAATTTTAAGATTTTTAGTTCAGAATATATAAATTTTTAATTTTTAAATATTTTTTCCAATAAATTAAGTAACAAAAGCAAGGAACAAAATATTTCTTTACATTTAATTCTTTGAAAATATTATTCTGAATTTTCAAAGTATTTTTTCTTGTTCAAAAAAACCACCTTGACATGTATTTAATAAAATTTCCAATTATAGTTAGAGATATGTGAATAGATATAAATGTAATTTTATTAAACAGATATAAATGTAATTTATATGGATTTACATTTATCTAACTATAACTAGAAAGTCTGTTAAATATATGCCGAGCATACAAATTAGCTTTTATTGTTTACAGATTGCAGGAACTCCAGGAACATGGGTTATAACTGGTGGAACAAACTCTGGTATAATGAAATATGTCGGTGAGACTTTACAAGGATTTAGCAAAGCATGTATTGGAATTGGAGCATGGGGAACAATTGCAAATACAGAAAAATTGAGAGTTGTTGGGGAACATGTTTTGTATGAAGTTGAATATAGTTTGGGTTCAAATGTTGCTTTTTTAGATCCAAATCATACTCACCACTTGTTGGTTGATGATGGGTCTTTTCAATCATTTGGTGCTGAATTAAAACTCCGATCAAAATTAGAACTTTACATTAATAAGAGTAAGGTTGTTTTTATTATATATTAATTGTAATGCATTTATGTTTATTTAAATTTTTATTGTTATTATCATTTTTACTATTAATAGTAATGATTACAATTGTTAATATCATTAAGTATTATTATATGTGTGTGTGTATCTATGTGTTAATAATGCTTAATGATATTGTTAATATCATTAAGTTATTATGTGTGTGTATATATATATATATATATATATATATATATATATATATATATATATATATATATATATATATATATATATATATATATATATATATATATATTTATATATATTTATATACATATATATGTATATATACAAGAGTTAGTTGTTCGTAATGTAAATATAATGTTGATCTATATCATAAAATATTTTTTTGTATATTTTTTAACAAATTTATTACCTGTGAATTAAATTGAAAGTAAAAGGAAGCAAGTTCTTCTTGTGGATAATATTGGAATACTGTTTTTTCGGCAAGAATATAAAGTTGAGTTGCAAACAAAATAAGTCACTTTAGAAGTAAGGTTGTCATGAAAATCATTAAGGTGGTTCGTCACCAAAAAAAAGTGAATTAAAAAAAAATGGAAAAAAATTATTATTATCTTATCTAATAGATAATTTTATTCTTTTTAAGTTTTTTAAAAAATATTTTACCTTTTATACTTGTAATATTTAACCTTTTAGTTAAATGCATATAAAAATGAGTCCTTAGCAATGCCTTAGTTACCAAATTAAAGCAACTATAAACCTATCTAGTTCATTGGTAAGATTATTTAATAAGAAGTCTTGAAATTGGTATCATTATTTGACCCTGTTATATAAAAAATAACTATTTTTAAACTGTATTATGGGCTATATCAACATAAAAATGTTGTTAAATAGTGTGCTTGTTAAAGTGAAGTTGCAGTGTTATTAAAGTTATAGTTATATTGTTTTTCATATTTTAAAGTCTTAATTTTCATATTGAAAAGTAAATGAATGGGAAATAGTAAAAATCTATCACAAAGAAAGAAATGTTGCAATGTATTTTATAAAAATCACTTTCTGAAAAGGATAACAACCCTCAATCCAATAGCCTGAGAGACGCTAAAATTAAATCTAGATTGCAATCAAGTTTTTTCTATGATAATGAGAATTATAATATTTTTATGAACTTTTAAAGTTTTTTATTAATGACTATTTATGTTGTTTATGTTGCTCAAATGATCTTTCTTTGGTTGACCAGCTTTCATCTAAAAAAAGATATGTGCATAAGTTATGCTTGACATGTCAAGCATGCAAATATAATAAAGAAACTTATACATCCAATAAATGTGTTGATATTAATAAAGTTAAAGGTCAAACAAAATTTGGAACTATGGATAGCTATATGCAGCAACTAAAAATGTAATCTACAATATGAATAATTTGATTTTAGCATTATTATGGCATTGCACTGAGTTTGACAATGATAAGTATTGCCACTAGTTTTGTTCAACAGGTAGTACAAGTTGGTGTAAATACAAGAAGTTAGAACCTAGTGTGCCATATAGACCAAATATAAATTTCCCCATATGGATCCATTTAATACTTCGCCTTGTGTTTGTAGAATTGTTTTCTGATGAGTTGTTGAAAAAATGTTTACACGGTTAAACTCAAAATTTAAATGAGGCGCTCAATAATATAATTTGCAACCAAATATCCAAAACATATTTTTGTCAGTAAAACCATATTAGAGCAAGTATTTTTGTCAGTAAAACCAAGTATTTTTGTCAGTAAACTAGAGCTCTATAGGAATAGTGTCAGTCTCCAACCAATACAGAATTTTATGTAGTCAGCCTTTTTTTAAACTTTCATGTTGCAGAGATAGTTACAGAGTTAAAGTTTTAAACAAAAAATCAACTAATGATGTAAAACAACTCAGAAAAACCATAAGAGCTATTAAAAAAGGACTTATTGACGTTGAAGACCAATCTGATGTTCCAAAAAGCTGTTCTGCAGGAACCTTTTAACAATAGTTTATTTTTTAAATGATTTTTATGACACTTTGATTTTTACCTGTTTTATTAACCTGTTTTCTGGAATGTCTGAAGTGTGGTCATAAGACTCAAAAGATAAATTAGAGGAAAAACATTGGGTAAAGTGAGGCTAAAAGCTGGTAGCAAGAGCCTTATTAATAGCAACTTTGCTACAATTTAAGGACTCGGTGTGTTAAGACAATTTTAAAAAATTATAGCATCTGTATGATATTTTGTTGACTACGACATATTTTCCTTAAATAATCAGGTCTGTGAATTATGAAAAGATGAAAAAAATTAAAACGATAAATTTTGTGGTATCATGAAATATAAATGTTTGTAGTGAAAAACCCAGACCGAATATTTAAAAAAAAAAAATTTCTTCTTAAAATCACAATCTGTTGTCCAAATTTGAATAAGACATTAAATAAATATGTTTTTTAGGTGAAATGAACATCACAGTTTAATAATATGATCTGTTCTGATTGTTTATTGGCAATTTTTTAAAATTATAAACACTTTCTTGGTCGGAATTCTAGTATTTTTTGTGAAAATTGATAGAAATATTGTATTTTGACAACTATATATATTTATTATATATCAGAACCAATTAGAACTAGGATCTATAGTGGGTTAAGGCAGTTTTTCAAAAGATTTTAAGTTCATGTTAATGCCGATGAGTGAAATTGATCTAAAGACCCCAAAATGGTGTCCTTTAGATTCACTATTAGAGGTAGTAAAAAGGTTTTGAATATTATATATAAAAAAGAAAAGTTTCTTTAAATATTAAAAAAGCTTTTGTGATGATGATGGTGAATTTGATGATGATGATGATAATGATGATGATGATTGTGATGATGATGATAATGATGATGATGATGATGATGATGATGATGATGATGATGATGATGATGATGATGATGATGATGATGATGATGATGGTAATGATGATGATGATGATGATGATGATGATAATGATGATGATGATGATGATGATGATGATGATGATGATGATGATGATGATGATGGTGGTGGTGGTGGTGGTGGTGGTGGTGGTGGTGGTGGTGGTAATAATGGTGGTGGTGAAGATGATGATTTTATCCTTTACTTGTTAAGATTAAATCTAAATTTTTAACCAAATATTTTTAGGTGGAGCATCATCAGTTCTTATAGCTTTAAATGGTGGTCCAGCAATGCTCTCGATTGTACATGATGCTGTTTTAAATAAACAATCTGTTTTCATTATTGTTAACAGCGGTCGTTGTGCTGATTTAATTGCTTTTGCATACAATAATATATCTGATGAAATTTTAGAAAAAATAAGTGCAAAAACATATTTTGCTGTAAATATACTGGAACAAATATGTGAGTTTTTACCAGAGTTAGATACAGAAGAGAAGCAACTAAATGGATACAAAATACTGATGGATTGTTTAGAAAATAAAAGATATGTAAGAATTTTAAATTTTTTTTCTCTTCTAAAATAATCTTATTTTTTATTTCTGGATTTACTTTTATAAAATGTTGACATCAAATTTTATCTATAATGGCAGTCAAAAAAGCTTAAAAAAAGTTTATTAAAGTTAAAATGTCGGTTTTTAGGAGTATCAAGGGGCAAATGAACATACTACGAATATATATTCTTAAGTTGCAAGATGACATTTCAATTCAAAATTATTTTGATTTCATTGAAAAAGTACTAAAACATTGAAAAAGACTTTTAAATTGTTTTATGTAATGTTTCGTTTATTGTTGTAATTAATTAATGCATATTATATATTCAGTTAGCAGTTGTAGAAGCGATATGATGTACTTTTTTAGTTTCTATATATGTTTCTATATAGGCTTATGCAATTGAGTAGGTAATTTTGAAGTCCTAAAAATGGTTTCAGCTAGAACTTTAAAAATTGTTAAATAACTTGGAACCAGCAAAAAACTTAGGATTGACACAGATTTATTAACTTTCTTATAGTGATTTGTGATTGTGAAGTGGGGATTCATGTGGATATTGTAAAATCAAAGTTTTGAAATAAAAAAAAAACAATTCAAAATAATTTAAATAAAGTTACAAATGCCCTTTTGCCACTACTATATATTGTAGTACTAAACGTTGCAAGAAAAAAAAAAAAAAAGACTATTAAGTAAAAAAATCCTTCATTATAGCTTGAGAAACTCTCCTCTGTACAAAATTTAGCAAAATTTTAAATGTAATACATTCTTATTCCCCTTTACCCCAGTTCAATAATAATACAAAAATAAAAAAGTCAAATGATGATGGTACATTTTACTTCATACAGTATGTCTGATTTATGCACAAAGTGTTTTTTTTTTTTTTTTTTTTTTGCATAAAGAATCTTTTGAATACACGCATATAGACATAAAGAAACTTTTCAACGCATGTATATAAACATAAACTTTAGAATACACGCATATAAAAATAAACTTATTGGTGGGGAAAATATTGCATTGTGAATATTGCACCATCATTATTTAAACAAAATAAAATAGTGATGTTTATGATTTTAGAAATTATTAAATAAAACATATAAAAAAATGCATAAAATGGAGGCAAAAATTATTTGACAATTATTTTAAATGGCAATTAGTATATATGAACCAATTGGTGAGAAAAAAATTAAAAATTAATTAAAGAAAGATAAAAATAACTTATATATGGAATGATTCTTGTAAAATACGTAGCTAGTGATTGGCTTGAAATTGAAAGTGTTGATGGAATAATTACTTTGCTAAAATGCTAAATATAAGCCTATTATACGCTTTTTAAATTTGGATTTTAAAAAGCTGCAGGTTAGAATGGAATGGTAAAAAAGAACACAGCCAGTTGCAAAACCGTTCTGCATTGTGTGATTAATTTGAAAAAAGAAATGATTTGCAGCAGGAAATGTGACAAACAGTCAATTCAAACTGTGAATAATAATTTCCTAAAATTGAAGGTTGTTTAGCTTATAGCAAAAGAAGAACTGTCGCTTTATCGATATTAAAAAAAATAGTTTAATTAGAAGAGAAACTGCAATTTTTGATCATGCTGACAAAAAAAAGTATTTGTGAAATTTTTATTGACATTACTTTAATTTCAACATAAAAAAAAATCCTAAAAATAAACTGAACAACTGAAATGTTTCACCTTTTTAATTGACAGTTTTTGCAACATTTCACTTATGGAAAAAGAAACCATGTTTGCTGCATGTTTTTAATCTAACTTTAATCAAAAAATCTGAAGTACACATTAAATATAGCTCTTTTTTCCTTTTTGATGTTGAATATGGAATTTCTCATAGAGCTTTCTGGCATATCAAATAATGAATAGTGAAAAATGTTTCTTTTTATTTTATAAATAAATAAATTTGAGTTAAATAACCTTTAATCAAATTTTTGTTAAAATCCTTAATATTTTCTTATTCTTTATTTGTATTGTGTGTAGCAACCAAGTAATTTAAAAAAGTCAATCTGAGGTTATATTGCTGAATTTTGAAATATAGAATTGACTCATGAACCATGGAAGATATAGACATGAAGTTTTTAAGGTTTGTATTTCTTATTAAAATAAATCAACACACAAAAATTCATCTAAATTTGAAGTGACCCTTGTTGGTTCTTCTCTACTTAACACAAAATGACCCCATGGTGTGTTGCCTTTACAACATCTAAGGAGTTTCATTTGTGCATCACCATGATGTGTCTCATCTATGCATCACCATTATGTTTATATTAATATTTAAAATATAAATAAAATGTTAATAAATAGTTTTAAGTTATAATAAGTTTTATTATATGTTGATAAATAAAGTTGATAATAAAAAATGTTTTTATATTATTTAGATCACACTTTTAGAAATGTCAGAAAAAAATAGTTTAGATGAAGCGATATTAAGTTCAATTTTAACAGAAGGTTATTTATTAATAGTTATTTTATATCTTTTTTTTTTTACACAGTTATATTTAATGTATTGTATATAACAAAATAATTGTGAGTATAATATATATTTTTTTAATTTTATTATTTATATTATCTTAATAACCCTGTAAAAATATTAAGGTTAAAAAAGTTGATCGAATGTCAAAAAATTAATCTACATTATTCATTAATTCTGTAGTCTACAATTAAGTTACAAAACAGAACCAAAATTTATGTATAATAGATTTAAAATTACAGAATTGAAAAACTAAAGAAATTAATATCTTAAAAAGGATAAAAGGCTTCTGTAAAAAAAACTTTCTTGTTGTTTACTGAATAAAGCTCAGCCATTACTCACTATTTAAATTAATAAACAATCTCAGAGATAATGACTTAAAATATTTTATAATCTTTTCTTTCATTTAACATGAACTCTTCCTCAACTTTCTTTGTCATCCAAGGGACTCATTAGAGTAACCTTTTATATAGAAATTTGCTTCTAAACTGCTTGCGAGTTTGTTTTATTATTAAAAAATATTCTTTATTTATGGAAAAATGTTTGTTTGCTTAAAATCGACTAATATTGCGCTTGTGGGTTAGTATCTTTTTTTTAAATCTTTTTTTTAATACTTACTTTTTGAAAATTTTTTTTTAAAATAAAATTAAAAAATATAACTTACAACATAATTTTGTCTAATATTAGTATAAAAATATATTACATATGTGGGAGGACGAGGGTGGTAATGCAAATGAAATATTAGTACGGTATTTGTATGTTATTTTACTTTTATATAAAAAAATTTTATCCTTTAAAAAAATATATTCCGCTCCTTTAATCCAGGAGGCTTAATAAGCGCGAACTGGCATAAGTGTAGACTAGCATAAGTGCAAGGCGTTGCAAAAACTGGCACATAGGCGAAGTGACATAAGTGCAAAGTATAATAAGTTGCGTTATGCCAATATTTGCAATTTTATTTGGCGCTCTTATGCAAGTTCGCACTTGTCACATTTTGCACTTATGCCAATGTTTTCAAATTCTTTTTGATCACTTATGCTAATTCGCTCTTATGCCAGTTTTTTTAACTGCTTTGCACTTATGCCAGTTCGCACTTATGCCAATTCGCATATATGCCAGTTTGTACTTACCCATTCGCACTTATGCTAGTTTGCGCTTATGAAATTCGCGCATATTCAGTTGTCCCTTTTAATCAGGAAATACTCCATTTCTTTAATAAGGATAAAAAGCTTGATTTAATTTCAAATGTCTTGACGTTGCTAATAATCGTGACTCTGTAAAAACTAAAAAGAAGAAAATAAAATATAGCAATATCATTTGCTAAAAAATTTATTATTTTATAATCTTTTCTTTCACTTGTATAACTTGTTTCCTTAATTTTTATTGTCGTCCATGACGCTTTAAAAAATAAACCTTTTATAGAGAAATTAGCTACTAAATTGCTTGCCAGTTTGTTTACATTAGTAATAATTATTAATTAACAAATCTTTTTATTTTAAAAATAGGCTCATATTGCTTGTGGGTTTGTAATTTTTTTTTAATTTACTTAGTTCTCTTTTAAAAATAATTTTTTTTATTTTTAAAATCGGATAAGATTGCTTGTGATTTTGTATTTCTTTTTAAATCTTTTTTTAATACTTTTTTTTGAAATTTTTTTTTTTAATAAAATTGAAAAAGTAACTTACAATGTTATGTTAACTTTGTTTAATATTAATATAAAAATATACTACATCTGTGAACTAAAGATTGACAGGTATGTTTCTAAATAAACATTGTGCAGACCTGTCAATCTTTAGTTTACGGAACTATTAAAATTAAATTAAAAAGTTTATTTTCTACTTTTTAAAGTAGAAAATAAAGAAAAGTAGAAAAGTAAAAAAAGATTATATTTTCAGCAAATGTTTTGCTATATTTTATTTATTGTATCACTTAATGTGAATTTTCCTCCTACTATACTTTGAATGATTAAATATTAAATTGCTGTAAATGATTTTATATTTTTTTACAAATCTTTGAAGATTAAATTTTTTTTAAATGAACTAATTTTTAAAATTACTTAAACAAAATTGATATTAAAAAAAAGTTGTGTAGATTGTCTTTTAGCTTTAATTTTGCCAAATTTTCTTTTTATCTTTATTTTTTCAAAATGTTTTATCGAGTCTTATTTCAATCTTAAAATTTCTAGAAAGTAAAAAATGGTAACTTTTTAAAATTTTCTAATGCTTGGTAATGGGGTTGTTTAAAATTTTCAAAATTTATATTTTTACCTATCCATTACTTTTTTTTACTGTTGTAAACAGAAAACATGAATGTTTATGTTTCTACTAAATAATGTCAATAGACTTATCTACTCCAAATAAATTTTATGATAAAATTAAGATAATTATTAAGATAAAAGAACAAACAATAATCAATTACTTTATTAATAATTTAACTAATGTTACTTGGCTCCTATAAATACTCATCATTTTTATTACATCATTCATTACACCATTAAAATCCTAAAGAGTATCAAATGTTACAACCCTCACTTCCATGGAATTGCCCATATATATGTATGTATATGTATATGTATATGTATATATATATATATATATATATATATATATATATATATATATATATATATATATATATATATATATATATATATATATATGTATGTGTATATATATATATATGTATGTATATATATATATATATATATATATATATATAATATATATATATATATATATATATATATGTATATATATATATATGTATATATATATATGTATATGTATATATATATATGTATATATATATATATGTATATATATATATATATATATATATATATATATATATATATATATATATATATATATATATATATATATATATATATATATATATATATAAGCGCGCTAAAGAAATTAATTCAAATTAACTTAACTATAAAGAAACTTAAAAAAATAACTAATTGTTCAAAAAGCAAATCTTCTTAAAAAAAATAACAAAAACAAAATTAAAACCAAAACTTTTAGTTTTAGTAAAGTTATAATTTTATTCAGTTAAGTTTTAATTTAATTTTTGCTATTTTAAAGCAAAAATAAAATTAAAACTTAACTGAAGTAAATAATGAACTATAACGATAAGATTATCTAAATTATGTTTGGAATGAATAACTTTAAATCTTTATTGTTTTTATAATATAATATTATGCTAAAAACTTTTTAAATAAAGTAACAACTTACAACTGACGATGGTTTTATAAACGCGTGCATTTAAAAGTTTAAAAACATATTCTTAACAATAATTTGCACAGAAGAAAAAATAATTAAATCGTTTATTTAAAAAATTTATATGATTTTTTTTATTTAAAAATATTGATAATAAAAAAGAAATACTTATGTAAATATAAAATAAAATATAGCAAAAACATTTGCTAAAAAATATAATCTTTTTTGTACTAAAAAGTAGAAAATAAACTTTTTAATTTAAATTTAATAGTTCAGTAAACTAAAGATCGACAGGTATGTTTTTATATAAATCTTGCGCAGACCTGTCAATCTTTAGTTTACTGAACTATTAAATTTAAATTAAAAAGTTTATTTTCTACTTTTTAGTACAAAAAAGATTATATTTTTTAACAAATGCTTTTGCTATATTTTATTTTCTACTTTTTAGTCTTTACCAAGAGTTACGATATATTAGTATGAAACAAAATTTTTTTGTCTATAAAAGTATTTTTAAAAGATTTAAAAAAAAAAAAATACGAACCCACAAGCAATCTTAGCAAATTTTAAAAATGAAAAGATTTATTTATTAAATTGAAAAAAGCAGTAAACAGCGTAAATATTCTTGCCTCCACTTTTCTTCCACTGCAGGCGATGGCTGCCAATTAATTTTTAGCTGCAAAATTTTCTATGTTCCGCCTCCAATGGCATCCGCCTTTCTATTGATGGCCGCAGTCAGAGTTTCTTTTTGGAGGCAAAATAATTTTCAGGCCGACGCCAATAGAGAGAGGCGGAAACTTTAAAACGTGTAAAAGTAGATGAGTCTATATTTTTAAACGTTTTAAAAGTATAGAGTAAAATATAAATTTATAAAAGTATTTATATTTAAAGCTTATAAATATTATTATTTTTTTGTTGTAATTTGGCAAAACTATTGGCATAATACAGCGTGGTTGCAAACTTTTTATAAACATTAGCAGATATTTTTTCAATAACTTTTACAATATCCAATTATTAAAAAAAAGTATTTAATGTTAGTATTTAACGTAATTTTAGCATGTTGACTTGTTCTAAAAAACTTTTACCAAAATCAGTCAATTTAATTACTTATTATATATATATATATATATATATATATATATATATATATATATATATATATATATATATATATATATATATATATATATATATATATATATATATATATATAATTTAATGTCAAAAAGATTTAATTACTTATTATATATATATATATATATATATATATATATATATATATATATATATATATATATATATATATATATATATATATATATATATATATATATATATATATATATTAATGTCAAAAAGATTTATTCGCTAATGGCATAGAAGTAAAATTTCCAACTTTTAACTTTTGTTTTGAATAGTAAAACTACTAATTTATTCTACTTAATTTATTAGTTTAAAAAAAAAATTAGAACTTTTTTAAATACTGCACATAATCATATAAAATGAAATTTGATATCAAATATTTAACATTTGTTTCTAGTTGATATTTAATTGCATTAAAGCAAATGAGCATTTATTTTTCATTACATCCACCTGCAGGAGGCAAATATTTTTGCCTCCAATTTGGCGGCTGCAGCCAGTTAGGAGGCAGAAGCCATTAGAACCAGCCTCCAAATGATTTTGCCTCCAAAAAATAACTCTGGCTGCGGCCACCAATAGAAGAGCAGAAGCTACTGGAGACGGAAGAAAGAACGTTT